CAACATACCAACAAACCAACAAACCAAAACCAACCAACAACCAACCAACTAACCAACAAACAAACCAACCACCCAACAAACCAACCAGCCAACAACCCAAGAAACCAACCAACAACCAACCAACCACCAACAAACAAACAAACAAACAAACAAAACAACCAATAAACCAACAAATAAGAAACCAACAAATAAACAAACCAACCAACAAACAAACCAGTCGGTGTAATAAACTAAACTTTACATTTCTAATTCTTTTACAAATGTACACAAGATATAAATAATTTTGAAAAAATACATCTTATATAACAATTATTAATATTACATACAAAAGACACCTAAAATTATTTACAAAAAAAAATATAACATGACATACAAAATACACATGTAAAATTATTTATAAAAGATATACACAATGTTAGAAAACAAAATACATCTAATATAACATAATATACAAAAGACACATATAAAGTTATTTTCAAAAGATATACACAATGTTGGAAAACAATACATCTAATATAATATAATATGCAAAATACACATGTATAATTATTTACATTAAGAAATACACAATTTTGGAAAAAAATAATCTAATAACATAATATACAAAAGACGGCCAATAAACCAACCAACAACAAACCAAGAAACCAAGAAAACACCAAACAAACCAAAAAACAAACGAAGAAACGGACCAACCAACAAAACAACCAACCAACCAACAAACAAACAAACCAAGAAACCAACCAACAACAAACCAGCTAACCAACAAACCAAAAAACCTACAAACCAACCAACCAAGCCAAGAACCAACAAACAAACTACCCATTAAACTAAAAAACACACCAAGCAATGGACCAACAAACAACAAACCAACCAACCAACAAAGCAACCAACAACAAACCAACCAACAAACAAACAAACCAAGAAACCGACAAACAACAAACCAACCAAGAAACCAAGAACCAACCAACAAACCAACCAACCAACAACCCAAGCCAAGAAACCAACCAACAAACAAACCACCCAACAAACCAAGGAACGGATCAACAAACCAACCAACTAAGAAACCAACCAAGAACAAACCAATCAACCAACAAACCAACCAACTAAGAAACCAACCATGAACAAACCAATCAACCAACAAACCAGCAAACCAACAAACCAAAAAACAAACCAAGCAACAGACCAACAAACCAACAAACAAACCAACCAAGAAACGAACAAACAAATTAACCAACCAACAAACCAAGAAACCAACCAACCAACCAAGAAACGAACAAACAAATTAACCAACCAACAAACCAAGAAACCAACCAACCAACCAACAAACCAGTCGGTGTGATAAACTAAACTTTACATTTCTCATTCTGTTACAAATGGACACCAGATATATAAATAATTTTGAAAAAAATACATCTAATATATGAACAATTATTATTATTACAGTCACATAAAAAAGGATTTACAAAAGATATACACAATTTTAGAAAACAAAATACATCTAAAATAACATAATATACAAAATACAGATATAAAATTATTTACAAAAGATATACACAAAGTTAGAAAACAAAATACATCCTAAAATAACATAGTGTACAAAAGACACAACACCATCACAATCACAATCAAATCAAATCAACAAACTAACCAACCAACCAACCAACAAAGAATCAACCAACCAACCACCCACCCAAACAACCAACCTACCAACCAACCTACCAACCAACCAACCAACCAACCAACCAACCAACCAACCAACAGACTAACTAATCAAACAACCAACCAGCCTAGTGTGTTGTAAGGGAGTTGTAGTGTTGTGGTGT